ATCAAATCACAGATTCAAAAAGCAAATGAATCCCAATTATGGAATATTATTAAGATAAATAGGACATCCAAATCTAGACACAGAATAGCATAAAAACAAGGAGTAAATTCCTTTTTTTACCCCCAAGAGTAAAATCTTAAAAGTAACCAAAGATTGTGCAGGAGAGGGACATGGTGGGGAATAGATTATGTTCAAAGGAAAAAAAGGTAGACAGCCAATTTTTAAATAGTAATTCTGAAAGACAAAGGGCAGTGGAATGACATTTTCTGTATGATCAAAAAAAAAAACTCACCTAGGACTCTCTAGATACAGTTAAAATGTACATCAAGAGTAAGAGGAAATAAAAAATTTTTATTTATTTATTTATTTTTTATTTATGATAGTCACACAGAGAGAAAGAGAGAGGCAGAGACACAGGCAGAGAGGGAGAAGCAGGCTCCATGCACCAGGAGCCCGACATGGAATTCGATCCCGGGTCTCCAGGATCGTGCCCTGGGCCAAAGGCAGGCGCCAAACCGCTGCACCACCCAGGGATCCCAATAAAAACATTTTTAAACAGAGATTGGTTACCAGGCAGATCTCACTAATGAAAATTTTAAAACATGTACATAAACAAACAGAAGAAAAATAGTCCCAGAGAGAAGTTCTGAGATGCAATAGGGGAAAAAAAATTAAACATGCAGGTTACTTTAAATGAACATTGACAATACATTATAAAAATTACAAAAATGTCAGGACACCTGGGTGGCTCAGTGAATGAGCATCTTCTGCCGTGGGATCAAGTCCCACATCCAGCTTTTGTAGGGAGCCTGCTACTTCCTCTGCTTATGTCTCTGCCTCCCTGTGTGTGTCCCTCCTGAATAAATAAAATCTTAGGGAAAAAGAGGTTGCAAAAATATATTTTATTAGAGATACAAGACAGAGTTAAAACACAAAGCAACAATACACATAAGTTTGGAGATACGTAAGTTGAGTTAAAATATTCAAAATTCCTTGCATTATCATTATCCATGAATAGAGAGGAAAAAATCCTCACCAAGATATTAGCAGATCATGAGTAACACTGTATTAAACAAACGAAATTACAACTAAATTCAGTTTACCTGAAGAATGCAAGTTTGGTTTAACATGAGCAAATAAAATTCACCACATTGACACATTTTTTAAAAAAATTATCTCATATGCAAAATAAACATCTATTATCATTCAACATTCACTCATGATAAAACTTAGAAAACTAGTATTATAAAGAAACTTTTCCAATATAATTGTAATATAAAGATCCTAGGTGGCCCCATAATAAATGCCCTTTGGTGTTCTCACCTTTTGTAAGCGTAGGCAAGATCTATGATTTGATTCTAGCCATTACAACATGGCAAATGTAAAGGAATTTTACAGATATAATTAATTCAGTTAATTTTGAGTTAATCAAAAGGGAATTATTCTAAGTAAGCCTGATTTAATCAGGTGAAATCCTTAAAAGAGGACTGAGGCTTCTCTGCAGTGAAATTCTCCTTTTTAGCTTCATGAAGCAAGCAGTCAGTGAGGAAGCCTACATGGCCAAGAACAAGGAACAGCCTTGCTCTAGACTGAATATTTCTGTGTCCCCACTCCCAAACTCATTGTTGTGCCCAAGACTGCAAATCCGAGAAAACCACCAAGGAGCTGACACCGATGCAAGTACATGAGGGTTTAATAACAAGCTCGACCTTGGGCCTAAGTATACCTGACACAGCAGAGCAGGGACTTGGACCCTGAGGTGGGTTACAGCTGGGTTTTTATGGGCTGGTCTATGGGTAAGGTGGGGTTTTTCAGTAAGGATGGGGGTGTGAGAATCTCCAGTAAAGAGGTCTCACAAGGTCTTGCTTCCTTATTCCGATAAGGAATAAGGTGGTTTTTTCTGTAGCCAGGGTAGGGTAGAGTTCAGTTCCTGGTCACAGTGGCCTGGTCAGTGGCCTGAGATGGCTGCCAGAACTACAATGGCTGTAGTTGTCAGTTCCTGGTCACAGTGGCCTGGTCACAGTGGCCTGAGATGGCTGCCAGAACTACAATGGCTGTAGTTGTGCCAATGTTAAACTTGAATGGCCCTAATTTTCTCAGCTTCCACTCTCATGACTTAAATCTTAGTGTTCAATGTGATACTATTTGGAGGTGGTGGCCTTGGTAAGGGATTGTCATGAAGGTGGAGCCCTCATGATGGAGATCAGTGCCCTTATAAAGGAGGCTGGAGGGAGCTCCCTTGGCCCTGTGCCTTATGAAGACACAGGAGGAAGACGATCACTCATGAACCAGGAAGCAGGCCCTCACTGGACACTGAATCTGCCAGTGCCTTGACTTTGGACTTCCCAGACTCCAGAACTATGAGAAATAGTAAGACAATTTATCAAGATAGCTGATGCTAAGCTCAATATGCAAAATAATTTTATTTCTATAAGCTATAAACAGGAAATGAAATTGATTTTTAAAAATAACATTTAAAATAGAAAGTACCAAATAACTGGAAATCAATCTAATATATATCTTGTAGGATCTTGATAGGAAATTTTTTTAAATACTGAGTTAATCAATTAAAATATCATTTGGAAAACTCAGTGTTATAAATGTCTCTTCCCTACAAACTATTTATAGATTCAATGCAATTCCAATCCAAATCTTTGTGTTGTAAAGCTTGATAAGTTGATTATAAAAGACCCATGGAGCCCTTTCCTCTTTATTCTTTCTCTTCCCAAAGATTTCAGTTCAAAAGCATAGAAACAGAAACAAGGAGCAGTGGTGTCCCAGAGTGAGGTGTTGGAGCCTGGCATAGAATGGGGAAAGTATAAATGTAGGAGTGTCACCCTACACAGTGTTAGAGCTCAAGACACAGCATCCCTGAAAGGTGAGTAACTTCGAATGAGGTATCACAGACTTCACAGGGTCAGGAGGCATCTGCACAGGGAAAGAACAGACCAGCATGGGTTTTCAGAGCCTGTGAGTGTGGCATGTCATCTGCAGAAGTGGCCTGGCACAGAGTGTCTCAGAAAGGAGGTATTTAGATGCCTCAAAATACTTCCCCCTAAAATGCTAATTAATTGTAAAGTACAAAGTTAACATTCTGGAGGAGAAAACTGAAGATACTACTCCAGCAATCAACATCACCAACAATGGGACAAATCAAAATTGTAGGTCACATGATATGATGCAATGAGTAGAGGACCAGTTCAGTCGTGCTCTTGCTAAAATATATGATCTGAATTTTATCATACAGAAATATAAGAAAAACCCACATTGAAAGACATTCTAGGGCAGCCCGGGTGGCTCAGTGGCTTAGCACTGCCTTTGGCCCAGGGCACAATCCTGGGGACCAAGGATTGAGTCCCACATCAGGTATGGAGCCTGCTTCTCCCTCTGTCTGTCTCTGCCTCTCTCTCTCTCTCTCTCTCTCTCTCTCTCTGTCTCTCATGAATAAATAAATAAATAAAATCTTGCTATAAATGATACTACAGACAAATGTCAAAGCTTTAAAAGAATATGAGGTTTAAATGATAGAGGGTATAGTTCATATAGCAATTGCACAACTGGGTATTTATCCCAAAGATACAAATGTGTGAAACGAAGGGGCACCTGCACCCCAATGTTTATAGTAGTAATGTCCACAATAGCCATTCTGTAGAAGGAGCCAGGATGTCCTTCAACAGAGGAGTGGATAAAGAAGATGTGGTATATATACACAATGGAATATTACTTAGCCACCAGAAGGGATGAATACCTACCATTTACATCAACGTAGATGGAACTGGAGGATATTATGCTGAGTGAAACAAGTCAATTGGAGAAAGACAATTATTGTATGGTCTCACTCATAGGCGGAATATAAGAAATAGTGCAAGGAGGGGAAACTGAATGGGGAATAATCAGAAAGGAAGACAAACCATGAGAGACTTAAGTCTGGAAAATATATTGAAGGTTGCTCAAGGGGAGGTGGATGGGGGGCTGAGGTAACTCAGTGATGGCATGGAGAAGGGCACGTGACTTGATGAACACTGGGTGTTATACACAACTGATGAGTTATTGAAAACTACATCTGAAACTAATGACCCTTCTAAATGTTGATGAATTGAATTTAAATTAAAAAAAAAGAATGAAAAAAATAAGAAAGGAATGTATACTTAACATACTTTGAATGGGTGTACATACACGCAGATTTTTAAAAATACAGTACTGTAAATGCATTTTATCTTCTTTCTGATTTTTCTAAACAACATTTTCTTTTCTCTAGCTTACTTTATTGTAAGAATATAGTATGGAATATATATAACACACAAAACATAGGTTAATTGATTGTTTTGGTACCGATAAGTTTTCTGGTCAACAGCAATAATTAGTAGTTAAATGCTTGGGGAGTGAAAAGCTCACAGATTTCTGACTACAGAGGATCAGTGCCCCTAAGCTCCACATTATTCAAGGGTCAATTGTATTAGTGTTGATTTTCTGATTGGCAGGGTTGTACGGTAGCTATGTGGAATGTACTGACTTGCAGGATAAAAATGCTACAGGAGTTGGGCATAATTTAACAATTTACTTCCAAAGTGTTTTAGGGAAAAGTTCTTTTTCTTTATTTTTACTTTTCTCTAATTTTAAGACTGTTCTCAAAAAGTAAATAAAAAATAAACAGAAAAGGTAAAAAGCCTTAGGCAAATCTTATCTCACCATGAGGAAAGAGCTATGAATAATATTTAAAATTAAAATTCTACACAGGTTTTATGACATTATAAAAATTGTATTACATGTACCATTGGTGATAGCCTTAGCAGCAATATATCAAAATGATGTCTGTCTAAAACCATAGGTCCAGTAATAGAAACTGTAAAATACAAAAAAGCTATCAGTTAACACCACTGAAATATTGACAACTTGGTTGTTTAGGTGCTATTTAAAAGGCTGGTACTTGGGCAGACTGAAGCATGCTAGTTTCCACGTACAAAATATGCTTAAAAGTTAATTAGATGCCAAGAAACAGCTTAAAATAGTATATAAACTTTTATTACACACGATACAAAAAACATTTTCCTTTAATAAAGATTTTCGTACATCAGATATTTATTGGGAAACAATTAAAATGTTATATTAAATATCTAGGTAATAAACTTTTATTATAGATCTTTCAGATCATATAATTTTTCTTTAAAATCTCTACATATTCTTGTGATGCTTGCAGTACTAGATGTTGATTTAGATTTGATTCATCAGTAGATCCTAAAGAAAAGGATCTACAGGATCCTGATTCAAATTCACCAGCAGCTGAAAAGAAAAAGGAAGATTTATATTCTTTATCTGAAATACTTTGTAGTTAACCACAAGTTAGTATAAAAAAGTTGGAATCTTATGAATGTTAAAAATGAAAAATATCTACATAAACTACAATATAAAATACAAGATTACTATTAAATATAGTTTGCTCACGATTGCCCACTGAATTAATTACTACTGTGGATAAATACGAGAGCTTCTGGTTTTCTCATTACAAGATGAAATTGCAAGGTGATGACACAGTCCACCCCTGAATAATCATATACTATAAACTGAAAAATCAAACAGGCAATTTCTAGAGTCAAATATACCATGACAGGTTTAAAACAAGACATTATAAGAACACACAGAAGGGACATCCTGGTTTTCTATCAATGTTGTCTGCTTTTCGGTGAAGGAAATAGGTAGGCTGATACCTGAAAGATTACTCTCTGCAAAGCAGCAGAGTAGGGTAATAGCGAGAGAAGGCTCAACAATGTGGCAAGAACCAAATTGATTTGGGTGTTTGTATTCCATGCTAAGGAACTTGGAATTTTACCCAATGGCAAAACCAGTGGCTGGAGATTGAAATGTCACCTGTCAAGGGACAGCTATATGAACTATATATAATTGCTTAAGTATTACTAAGACAAGTCTGGTCTTTTTGGTCTTCTACCACTAGCAGAAACAAGAATTTGAGAACACCCACATTCAGATTGACAGTTCCATACCGATGGCACAAGTGAAGGAAGATTACAGCCAAAAGTGAGAAGAGGCACATAGACTTTGCAGATTTTTAAAAAGGTGTGAAACATGATGACCAAATGAAGAATAAATCTGTTATTCATTATGTTTATGTTTGACATTTTTTATTAGATATATACAAAAATTTTAACATAGAACCTATTACCTAAATAATGGAAAGGGATGCCATTTACTATTTGTAGTTTATTTCAGAAATTAATGACCATCTAAATTCGTAAATTTGGCAACATACCTTCTTTTAGTTCTCTAGTTATATTTTCTTCCAACATCTGCTGCATCTGAAATGTCAAATATTACTTATAATGCGCAAGTTAAACAAGAGATATTATTGTAGGAATTATATTTTGCTTATGAAATGTGGTCTGGAAATAATACTTTTAGAGAGTAAAAGTTACAGATTGCTTAAATAGAAAGATAATCACATAAATAAAATAAATCCCTACTTATTTTAATCTGGATAACTGAGAAGAGACATGTAATAAAAGGAATCTAATAAAAGTACAATTAATATTGATCAACTGAATATACAAAATTTCTGGAAGAAGAGGACGATGGTGGAGGAGTAGGAGACTCTAGTCTGTTGCCTGGAATTCAGCTACATAGCTATCAAATCATTCTGAACACCTGTCAACTCAGAGAACCAAGAAAAGAATTATTGCAATTCTACAAATAGAACAGTGACTGCTTTCTGCAAGGTAGGAGGTGTGGAAAATGAATCCCAGGCATATATCAGAAGATAAACCATGTGGGCAGGGAGCCTTTGGAAGCCAGAAGCCAAGTCCTAGAAAGTGATATAGCAGTGGAGTGCACAATCAAAACTTTTAAGAAGTCTGTTCCAGTGAGGACATCCCTGTCTGAGAGGTGCTCAGGTGGCAACAGGGGGCAGCATCCTAGGTGGGGGGTCAGGATCCCCCGGGTCACAGAAAGAATGGGGGTACCTGAGTATGGCAGTTTCCAAGGCATTTGAGTGGGGAAGCCAGCTGCAATCAGTGAGCCCAGGAGTGGGCATTCAGCTCCGTGCTGCCATAAATCCCAAACCGAGGAAGAGTCAGGTGACCACTTTCCAAGCAGGGGTCCAGAAATCAGCAAAACTGGGGGAAGACCTCCTCCTCCCTACTGGAGGAACAGTGTGAATGGGGGCTACAGGAGTCTGCAAAGTTTGGAAAATTGAAAGGGGCTCATGTGCTTAAGACACAAATGCTGGTGCACAGGCTGGGTGAATACAGAGTGCAGACAGAAACCAGGGAGACACAGTAGGGAGAATAGGGAGTGAGATCTTTCAACTCCAGGGCTGGAGATTAGGAGGCTGCCATTTTCATTTTCATCCTCTAAAGCTGCCCAGAAAGCCTTCAGGGAACAAAAGCAACAGAGAACAATCTGGAGCTGCTTACCTGGCCTGGCCCCCTGGCAAGGGTGGGGCAATCCCACCCTAAGCAAAGACACCTAAGAATCAGTGCAACAGGCCTCTCCCCCAGGAGGTCAGCAACAACATCCAGCTAAGACCAACTTTACTCATCATAGAGAGTTGCAGAACTCCAGTGCTAGGGGCAAACAGTATATAGAATTCATGGCTATTTCTCATGACTCCCTAGTCTTTCTATTTTAATTTTCTTTTTCCTTTTCAACCAATTTTTTAATTTATCAACTCTTTTACTTATTTTTAAATTTACCTTTCTTACGGTTACATTCGATCCTTTCACTGCATTCAATATTATTCTTAAATATACAGAATTTTTTTTTTTCTGTACCATTTTGGGAAGTAGTTTCGTTCTAACAAATAGACTAACAATAGCCAAACTGTGGAAGGAGCCTCAGTGTCCATCGAAAGATGAATGGATAAAGAAGATGTGGTTTATGTATACAATGGAATATTACTCAGCTATTAGAAATGACAAATACCTACCATTTGCTTCAACGTGGATGGAACTGGAGGGTATTATGCTGAGTGAAGTAAGTCAATCGGAGAAGGACAAACATTATATGTTCTCATTCATTTGGGGAATATAAATAATAGTGAAAGGGAATATAAGGGAAGGGAGAAGAAATGGGTGGGAAATGTCATAAAGGGAGACAGAACATAAAGACTCCTAACTCTGGGAAACGCACTAGGGGTGGTGGAAGGGGAGGAGGGCAGGGGGTGGGGGTGAATGGGTGACAGGCACTGAGGGGGGCACTTGATGGGATGAGCACTGGGTGTTATTCTCTATGTTGGTAAATTGAACACCAATAAAAAATACATTTATTATTAAAAAAAACAAAAAAAAAACAAAAAAAAAAACCCCAAATAGACTAAAATACACCCAGAATCTAGTATACTGCTCTATTCTCTTATCTGTCTGATTATATTCTTTTTAAAATCGTTCTTAATTTTCATATTTACAGTTACATTCTAACCTTTCATTGCATTTAATTTTATTTTTGCATATATACAAGTTTTTCAAGCTTTACAATCTTGGGATGCAGTTTCTTTTAACAAACAGACCAAAATATACCTAGAATATAGTATATTGCTCTGTTCTGTTCGACTGGCAGATAATATCTTTTTATTTTGTCTTTTAATTTCCATTTTTACACTTACATTCTATCCTTTGGTTGTATCTAATTTTATTTTTGTATATATACAAGGTTTTCTTTCTTTACCATTTTGGGATGCAATTTCCTAACAAACAGACAAAAATACACATAGGATCCAGTGTACTGCTCTGCTCTCTTCAGCTATCTAATTACATTATCTCCTTTTAAAATCTTTTTATTGGTTTTGGGTCTCTTCTGAGTTGTTTAGTGTACATTTCTCTGGGGTCACTGTTGCTATTTTAGTAGTTTGTTCTCCTGTTCATCTATTCTTCTCTGGACAGAAAGATAAGATGGAAAATCTCACTGCAACAAAGAGAACAAGAGGCAGTACTGACTGCCAGGAACCTAATCAGTATGGACATAAGTAAGAGGCTGGAGCTAGAGTTCAGAGTAATGACAATAAAGATAATAGCTGGGCTTAAAAACACACAGAAGGCGCTAGAGAATGCCTTTCTGGAGAAATAAAACTAGTATCTGATCAAGTTGAAATAAAAAAGGCTATTATTAGTGAGATGCATAAAAAATGAAGGCCCTAACTGCTAGGATAAATGAGGCAGAATATAAAAATAGGGAAATAGAAGACAAAATAATGGAGAATAAAGAAGCTAAGAAACAGAGAGAAGCAACCACCGGATCATGATAGGAGAAATCGAGAGATGAGTGGTACCATAAAGCAAAAACAATATTAGGATAATTGGGATCCTAGAAAAAGGAAGTAGGGGGCAGAAGGCATATTTGAGCAAATGAAAGCAGAGAGACCTTCCCTAATGTGGGGAAAGAAACAGGCATTCAAGTGCCAGGAGGCACAGAGAACCTTCCTCAAAATCAATATAAAACAGGTCAGTACTTCAACATGTAATAGCAAAACTTGCACATTTCAGAGACAAAGAGAAAATCCCAAACAGGGCTTGGAACAAGAAGCCCTGAACTGACAAGCAGAGAAACATTAGACTGGCAGCAGATGTCCAAAGAGACCTAACAGGCCAGAGAGAGCTGGCATGATATATTCAGGGCAAGGTGCTAAATGAGAAGAATATGCAGCCAAGAATACTTTCTTTATCCAGCAAGGCTCTCATTCAAAATAGAAGGAGAGATAAAAAGCTTCCAGGACAAACAGAAACTAAAATAATTTGTGATCACTAAACCAGCCCTGCAAGCAGTAGTAAAGGGGGAACTTTAAGCAAACAGAGACCAAAAGTAACACAGACCAGAAAGAAGCAGAGACAATATGGTGAAACAGGGACTTTACAGGTAATAAATTGGCACTACATTCATATCTTTCAAGTTACTCTGAATGTAAACAAACCAGATATTCCAACCAAAAGTCACATGGTATCAGAGTGGATAAAAAAGCAAGAGCCATCAATATGTTATCTGCAAGGGACTCATTTTAGACACAAGACAACACCAGATTGAAAGTAGTGAGTGGAAAACCATTTTTCATACTAATGGATATATATATAAGCTTGCTTTTTTTTTTTTTTTTTTTTTTTTACCATTTTGGGAGGATGAATGGGAATGAATGGGAATGGGAATGGGAATGAATCCTCCCTGCTAGCTGGGAGGATTCAACAATACATTAAAAAGATTATATCCAGTCTCAAAGACTGGCAATCTTTATATCAGACAAATTAGATTTTAAACCAAAGACTGCAATAAGAGATGAAGAAGGACACTATAAAATAATTAAAGGGTCTATTCAACAAGGAAATAAAATAATTATAAATATTAATGCCTCTAAACTGGGAGCAGCCAATTGTAGAAACAAATTTTCCTTTAAGATTTAAAAGACAGAGACAGAGGTGGGGGACACAAGCAGGGGGAGCAGGAGAGGGAGAAGCAGACTCCCGATTGAACAAGGAGCCCAGTCAGGGCTCGATCTGAGGACCCTGGCATCATGACCTGAGCCAAAGGCAGACGCTCATCCGACAGAGCCACCCAGGCCATTTTATAGACCAATTAATAACAAAATTAAAGGAATACATTGATAGTCATACAATAATAGTAGGGGCTTTAACACACCACTCACTGCAATGGTCAGATCATCTAAGCAGAAGATCCACAAGGACACAAGGGCTTTGAATGACACACTGCACAAAATGGACTTCACAGATATCTTCAGAGCGTTCCATCCTACAGCAACAGAATACACACTCTTCTCGAGTGCACATGGAACATTCTCACATACTGGGTCACAAATTGGGTCTCAACTGGTACCAAAAGATTAGGATCGTCCCCTGCATACTTTCAGACCATAATGCTTTGAAACTGGAACTTGATCACAACAGGAAATTTGGAAAGAATTCAAATACACAGAGGTTAAAGAATCAAACTGGGGAATTAAAGCACAATTTTAAAAACTCATAGAAAGAAATGAAAATGGAAACATAACTGCTCAAAACTTTTGGGATGCAGCAAAGGTCATCCTAAGAGGAAAGTATATGGCAATACAAGCTTTTCTTAAGAAACAAGAAAGGTCCTAAATACACAACTTAACCTTACACCTAAAGGAGCTGTAGAAAAAACAGCAGATACAGCTTCAATCCAGCAGGAGAAGAGAATTAATAAAGAGCAGAGCAGAAATCAATGAAATAGAAAAGAAAGGAACAGTAGAACAGATCAATGAAATCAGGAGCTGGTTCTTTGACAGAATTAGTAAGATAGATAAACCCCTGGCCAGACTTCTCAAAAAGAGAACGAACCC